AAAAAAAAAAAAAAAAAAAATAGTTCTCCTTGTGAAATGTTTCTCTATCTTACAGTTCTAGTTTTAGAAATTGGATTTCCTATTTGGATCGATTAGGCCTTTCTTGTTCTTCATTTCTCCTCTTTCCATGTTGTTCCTGTTTTACTAGGCTGCTTTGTTTGTTTATTGGCGTTTTGAAACAATTTTAGCTTTTTGGTGGACTTAGCTTTTTCCTTTGGTCAAACAACTAAAAACAAATGTTTTTTTTTTTTTTTTTTTTTTTTTTTTTTTTTTTNNTTTTTTTTCAAAACGAAGAAATATATTAATAACTAAAACGAAAATAGAGTTCAAGGATATAGTACATAGCCATAGATTGGCCCGGGACAACAAAACAGAACCGAACTAACAAAGAACTAACAAGACAAACACAAAAAAGATGGAGAACCATGCAAGATGGCCTAAATAGGAGAAAGGGACAACATGGTTTGTCTATCGGGAGTATAGAATACTGAGGCTCTGAGACTAATCATGTGTCAAAAGAATACAACCAAGCCACTGCAATTAAGCCTAACTAGGGAAAAAACCAAAACAGACAAGAAGAGGAAACACAGAAGAAATCCATAGAGAGCTAGTACAAATTAGAGAACTCTCTCCATTCAGAGCAAGCTCTTTTAATCACCAAGCTCTCAGGTTGTTTTTGATTCTTGAAGACCCAGAGGTTCCTAGATTTCCATAACCACCATAGGATGTAGGTGGTTTGTTGGATCCTTTCTTCAGCTTCTTTTTCTTTGTGCATAAAGCATATTTCCAGCCACCAGCTTTTAAAGTTTTCAATCTCATGCTGCATTGATGTCCAAGTGACAGTGGCCAGTTTCCAAGCAACCTTTGCTCTGGGGCAATTGAACAAAATGTGTTATGTAGTTTCTTCATTCTCTCCACAGACTTTGCAAATATGGTCCACCTTGATTCCTCTCTTACACAGATTAGAAAGTGAAGGCAGAATACCTGAAAACACTTCCAGATGATATCTTCCTCTTGATTTTGAGTTTTCAGCTGAATCTTCTAGCTTTGAGAATCCATGATCTTTGGTTACTAGATTCAGGAATATCTAGTCTCAGAATTTTTCTTTTTATGAGGTTCTCATAAGTAGAAGCCACTGTAAAGCAGCCTTTCTTGTTGAAGCACCAGGTGGGAGTGTCTTTTTGAGATTTATCAATGGTGGTGATACTCAGTATAGCTTCACATTCTGCAGGTGAAAAAAATTGACAGAGAAGATCAGAATTCCAAGCATTTCTGTCAGGCATGAACAGTTCCCAGACCCAGGTTGGGTAGTTGTCTGAGGTGAAGGTCCTGCATGGCTTGTGATTTGGGAGAGATGGGACCCAGGGGTGCTCCCAAATCTTAGTGTCTCTGCCACCTCTGACTATTATGAGAAGCCCCTGCTCAAAGGAAGAACTTAGGCTCATCCAACTCCTCCACAGCCATGAGCTGTTCTGTGGAGGTTTGGAGTTAAAAAGAGAGCATTGAGAGAAGTATTTGTCTTTAAGAATTTGACTGACAAGCAAATGAGGTTTAGAGTGGATTCTCCAGAGTTGTTTAATAATCAGAGATTCATTGAAAAGCTTGATATCTGAAAAACCCAGACCCCCATTGTCAGTAGGGATGGTTAACAAGCTCCATTTATTCCAGTGAAGTCCCTTAGATTTATCACTTTTAGACCATAAAAAATCAACAACAAGTTTGGCTATGTCTGAGCAAATGCTAGCAGGAAGGAGGAAACATGACATAACAAAGGTAAGAAGTGCAGATAATACAAATTTTATCAGAACTTCTTTTCCTGCAAATGAAAGGAACTTGTTTTCCAGTTTTTAATCTTGTCTCTAACCTTCTTTATAACAAAAGAGAAGGCATCCTTTTTAGAAAGACCAATGCCTAGGGGGGGGGTTTTCATTAAATTAATATATTCGGGAAACTTGATTAATTTATGTTATCACATATCTGAATCAAGCGTCGCATATTTTATGTTATGCGACAGAAGATAAAATGAGAGTGAAAGCCCAATATTTGCAAAATAGCTTTTATACAAGGTCATTAAATTCTATCAAAAGCTTTTTCCATATCAAGTTTTAAAGCCATAAAAAATTTAAAACCTGTTCTGTGCCTATTCAGACAATGCATGGCTTCTTGGGGGTTGGGAGCCACTCTAGGCTGGCTGCCTCCACCTGATCATTCTTATCATTTGAGGATGAAGCTACTTGCTTCTGTTTATTGGAATTGGTATTGCACTCGTGAGAATCTTTTGAGGGAATGTTGACAGGGCTAGTGGATTGAAGTCTGCCCCTTTTAGTTCTCTGAGGACCTGATGTTTCCCCTTGGTAAGGATTCTTTTCAGTCTTAGCTTTCTCATCCTTAGGTTTTCTGGTCTACTTCTTTCTTGGTTTGCTGGGTTCAGGGCTAGCTGAGATTTTTTGGGGTTGTCTTTAGGCAAAATCTTATTAAGTGGTTGAGGCTCAGGGATGGAAGGGATATTAGCTAACTGGAAGTCCATATCTTGATTAGTGAGGAGGAGGATAGGTTCTGAGTTTAGGGTTGCCATTAGGTGAGGTGGGGGCATGGTGGTTGTAATAGCCCATCATGTTATTAATGAAATATGATGTTTAGTTCCGAAAAATTTATTTTATTAAGCTTTATCGTTTGGAACTAATTATCCAAATTAAGAACGTTCGAATTAATTTTGGAATGTTACGTTTATGCTCGGAATAGTTTTAAGTATTTGATCATATGCAAAGATAATTTCCGAGCTTAACCAATTAATCATGCACGGTCTAATTAATAAGTACGTAAATAGTGTTTATTTATGCTTAAACTCGTGCTATTGTCAAGTAAGCATGTTCATTATGCAAGTCTTAATTCACAAAGTGGGTACATTCATTTTAGCATAAAATTGTGCTTAGTATAGCACAAAGCTCACTTAAGCCGTATTTAATTTAAAAAGGACCGTAAGGTTGAGGAGAAGGTCATGTGCTCTCATTATTTCCTATTAGCTTATGTGGCTTGTTCTTAATGTTCAAGTGGTGACTAAGCAAGCCAAGTTACACCTAAGGCCTTAGATACTTGACAAGTGGTGCAATATGATTGGACAAAAGCAATTTCACCCTTCTTCACTATTTTGTACGCCATTTATATATGGTGAGGTAGAAAAATTTTACCTTACGCTTATGCCATATTTTACACACACGCACTCGGAGGCGAGGAAGCACACACGCACGCGCATGCAAGGTCCATTTGCAAAGAGTTACGCATCATTGATCGAGAGTTCGAGGAGGTAAACATCAGCTAACTGGTTGTAAATATTTTTACCGGAGTCAAATCAAAAGATTCGAACGCCGGGTCGTCTCTCAAGGAAGGTTAGCCAAATTATTTGTATGGATATTCTATCACAAGAAAAGAGAAAAAGAAATCCTAAACATTCTATTCAAGATTGATGGATTGTTTATCGACTACTAATTATAAAGCAAGTAATTATAAAAGCAAGGCAAAACTAGGAATCTCAAGTTCGCAACTCAATACTCAAACTCAATTAATGATAAAAGGGCTAGGGTATCAAGGTCAATCAATTCCGGTTCTCAATACACTTAACGAGCAAT